CTCTGTAGTCTAGCTCTGACATGCAGCATATACGATTGCAATGTCCGTATAAGACGACATTGAAGGGTATATAACGAGTATAATAGGCAATTGATGATACATCGACTCCATCGTTGTGCACACTATATCTCTCTATCCTATCATCTCACATGAATACTATCGAAGCAGACGAGTTCACGATACCCAAATGAGACGACTTTCAAGCGGGTATAACGCACACAACTTGCACAACAAAAAACTTCGACTTCGACTATGTTTACACTGTAACTCTGCCGTCAAGCATCTGACATGCATACAGTTGAAGCAGATACGATGACAGTGACCGTATAAGACGACTCTGAAGGGTATATAACGAGTTCAATATGCTAATGAAGTTACATCGACTTCATCGGTGTGCACACTCTATCTCTCTATCCTATCATCTCACATGGATACTATTGAAGCAAACGAGTTCGTAATACCCATATGAGACGACTTCTGAGCGGGTATAACGCACACAACTTGCAGAACATGAAACTTCGACTACGACTTCGTTTACACTGTAACTCTGCCGTCAAGCATCTGACATGCATACAGTTGAAGCAGATACGATGGCGGTGACCGTATAAGAAGACGAGTTCAATAGGCAAATGAAGATACATCGACTCCATCGGAGTGCACACACTATCTCTCTATCCTATCATCTCATAGTTCGACTTCGACTATGTTAACACCGTAACTCTGCAGTCTAGCATCAGACATGCACACAGTTGGAGCATATACGATTGCAGTGACCGTATAAGACGACATTGAAGGGTATATAACGAGTACAATCGGCAAATGGAGATACGTCGACTTCATCGTTGTACACACTATATCTCTCTATCTAATCATTTCACATTGACACTATTGAAGCAGACGAGTTTGCATCGACCATATAAGACGACTTCCGAGCGATTATAACGCACACAACTTGCAGAACAAGAAACTCCGACTTTGACTTTGTTAACACTGTAACTCTGCAGTCCAGCATCTGACATGCATACAGTTGAAGCAGATACGATGGCAGTGACCCTATTAGACGACATTTGAGGGTATATAACGAAAACGTTTTCAAATGGGGATACATCGACTACAACGTCGTACACACTTTTACTCGCTATCCTATCATCTTACATGGTTACTATTGAAGCAGACAAGTTCATAATGACCATATTAGATGACTTTCAAGAACGTATAACGCACACAACTTGCAGAACAAGAAACTTCGACTACGATTATGTTTACACAAAAACTCTGCAGTCTAGCATCTGACATGCATATAGTTGGAGCAGATACGATGGCAGTGACCGTATAAGACGACTCTGAAGGGTATATAACGAGTTCAATATGCTAATGAAGTTACATCGACTTCATTGGTGTGCACACTCTATCTCTCTATCCTATCATCTCACATGGATACTATCGAAGCAAACGAGTTCGCAATGCCCATATGAGACGACTTCTGAGCGATTATAAGGCACACAATTTGCAGAACATGAAACTTCGACTACGACTTCGTTTACACTGTAACTCTGCCGTCAAGCATCTGACATGCATACAGTTGAAGCAGATACGATGGCAGTGACCGTATAAGAAGACGAGTTCAATAGGCAAATGAAGATACATCGACTCCATCGGAGTGCACACACTATCTCTCTATCCTATCATCTCACATGGATACTATTGAAGCAGACGAGTTCCCAATGCCCATATGAGACGACTCCTAAGCGGGTATAAGGAACACAACTTGGAGAACAAGAAACTTCGACTATGATCTCACTGTAACTCTGCAGTCTTGCATCCGACATGCAAACAGTTGGTGCAGGAACGATTGCAGTGACCGTATAAAGAGACTTTGGAGAAATTATAACGGGTACAATGGGCGAATGACTATACATCGACTCCATCGTTGTGCACACTATATCTCTCTTTCCCATCATCTCACATGGACACTATTGACGCAGACAAGTTCGCAATGATGTTACGATCCGAAAGTACCTGCTCTGATCTGAATGGGAAATCTACTAATTTATGCATTTGTATGAGAGAATGGTGCCAGATTCAGATATATCATACAAAGCCCTACGCTCATTTGCATCTTTATTTCAAGTATCATATTATAACAACAGATATAGATGGTAATCCTGCGGTATCTAACATCTCTGGGATTGGTGCTCTCCTCGTTGCAGCAGGATAGTAACCCCTAAAATCATTCAATGTATTAGGATAATGAGATTACCAGGAGCTTTGTACTTACCCGCTTGTCTCCTACTCCTGGCTTTTGGCCTGTTCCATCCAGGGTACCCAGTTTCCATCAGCCAATGGTAACCCTGCACCTCAAGAGGTTCATTCCTGAAAATCAGAAATAATTATGAATAACATTCATCAGATTATTTTGTTTTGGGTTGGTTAGGATAGGTTTTGAGTATGGATTTACCTCTTGCCAGTGCAGAACATCTTCTGTGACTGAACCACAGCCAGTTCTTCTTTCTTTATATTCTGCTCACTGGTTCTGCTCCCTCCTTTTTTATTTTGGTCTTAGTATGGAGACACAACCATCATCAAGACATTGTCAACAAGAGAACCAGGTTGACAAGCAGTTGTGAGAGAGAAAGGTTAGGATTGGGAGGATTTTGCCTCCAAAAATTGTAGGTGTCACCTGGATTCCTTTTTTTTTTGGCTTTAACCTCCAGTATAGCATGTGTGCTTAGGAAATTGCAGAATTCGCAGATTTGAAAGCCAAAAAGGAAAACTTGGAAAATATTAGCAGAATCAATCATTAAGTTGATTATTTCACAACACAGTGTGGATTTATAATATTTTCCTCCTGACTCACCAGTTTCTTGTCGAAACTTTCAGATAGGCCACATTTCATCCAAGGTAAGCCTCCCAGGAATCCTCCCTTTTGTCAGTCCAGTTACCAACATAATCAATGATTTCAGGCCTTTTTATTACCCCTTCAGTACCTGTGAAGCTGCTTTGAAAACATCTGGAGCCTACCTTCAAACCATCCCTGGTTTTGGTGGCCTATCCCCCAAACCCCTACTAATATAAATTGTCCCTATATGTAGAAATCTACAAGGTATAAGCTAACCAATCCTAGCTGCAACGGGGTTGGAGTGACATTGGCATATCATCCCTGGATGCTTGATCACAAGTAAGATCTTTCCTATTTATCAGCTTTGGCTGCCTTACCTGGTGAAGGTTGCATACTGGCTTATTGGCCTGTGTAACACTGCATCCTTGCTTTGCATGCATGACTCTTGTGCTCACTCAGTATTAAGGATATATTGTGCTCACTTAGTATTGAGTCTATCTTGTGCTCACTTAGGATTAAGTATCTCTTGTGCTCACTTAGGAATAAGTACATCTTGTGCTCACATAGAATTGAGTATAGATGGTGCTCACTCCAAATTAAGCAAAGGTATTTATAAGTGTGAAAAAAAACAGCTGGGACTTCCTATCCATGTTCATATCAATGTAGGAGAATGAAAGTGAATCCTGTATATATCTGTAGGGTGGTCATAGGATTCATTGATGCTCAGCTATAGGCCTGATTACTGAGTGCTGGAGAATCAGCACAGGAGTTATGTCATGAAATTCATATAGAGTGCCATCATTATCTTGGATCCTCGAGCTGGATTATTAATTGAATAGGACCATAAGAATAGTTCATCCAAATCATTTGTCTCACGTAATCATTATTTTGTTCTTGCATGTTTATCAAGTTTAATCATTGTTGTTTACAAGAATATGGTTACCTTTGCGATTTGACATATGAATTGATACGTGAACGTGACAGTCAGTTGAAGTTGAAGGATCGCAATTGTCATTTGTCAGCGTGTGTACGAGCAGTGTTGCCGGATGACCACTCGTGGTTCTGTCACAGATCAACAGACCTTTTTATTCTGTGGTTCCGTGCTAGATCCTTAGATCATTAATAAATCAAACTAAATAAACGTCACTTGAGAGTTGTCATTCACGAAATTTAGTGTTCAACTTATTTTACCCACCCCTCTCCCTGAGCTGTATCCTAAATAACTATTTTCCAATCGAGGAAAATACGGAAACTCAACAAAAGGGATTCCCCGAGCAAGAATCCATCCTTTTGTTGCCTCTCGAGTACCGAGGGGTAACAAAATTGGCGCCCAACGTGTTCGCAAGCAACTCTCAACTGAGGTTTATCTTAGCCATTATCTTACTATTTTTGTCTCTCGTTTCGGTTAGTAATTTGAATTTTCTTGAGCTTGAGCGGACAGGTATGGTATGATTTCGCCGATGGTTTTGCCACGATTCCAGAGTTGTTGGTGCAGATGAGCATTGCGTGCTTTAGATTCATAATTTTAGAGCATTGGGGTCATACCTACACAAGGTGTTGTGGTCAATAGGTGACAGAGGTATTCGAGGTCTGGTATACGATGGGTATATAAGAGATCGCAATATCCGGTTTTTGGAAAAAGTATATAGATATACAGAATGTACATAAATTGTAACTTTTCTTTTCTCAGATATTAAGGGTATAATTTTTCGTATGTTCTTTTTGCTTTTTCGAGGTTTGGTAAGAATTTATACAGGGTTTATATACAAATAATTACAGTTTTTTTTCTCACCTATCTTTCAGGAAGTTTGGAGATTTCGGATAGATTCCTTTTCTTCGCGAAAGTATAGTTAACGGGAGACGGGGTTACTTTGAGGTGGTGTTGGGTTGTTCTTAGTGGGGGTTGGGTTCAATTCGTGGAATTAATTCCCGAGCAACTATTTTTATCTACGAATTGCGTAGAATTCCTAATTGGGACTACTTGAATTTACGAAAAAAAAAAAAAAAAATTTTAATCATGGAAGTTAATCGTCTTTTGGGGGATGAACTGACATACGAACTCCAAATACGAGGATTGCCGATAGGAAACAATGTGGCTGAAAGAGAACAGCGTTGAGAGAGGTATTCAGACTGGAACGTCAAAATACTACTCAAGCTCCAGTGGCGATTAGGTTAGACCCAGATAATGAGATCTCGATAACTGAACGGAAGATATTGGAACTCCAACAGGCCATTAGGGGTTTTGATCACTCAAACCGGGATAACGAATTTGCGCGCATTTATTCGCGGTTGCTACATGTCTCCCTCCGTCTCCAACGGTTGAGGGGAGGCAACGGTGATCAAGAGGGTTATAGGATCGAGCTCATCCAGAGATGTTCACAGATGATAGGAGACCTGAACTTAGCTTTCGAGGGGTTATCAGTTAGCCAACGAACGGACGGGAGAGTTAGCTCAAATGGTCAGGGATCGCGGTCTATACTGGACGAGGATAACCCAGTGGAGCACACGGTCTCCCCTCTCGAGCCTTTTATTTCGTACGATCTCATTGATCTGACAGATGGAGAAGGTGGCATCGAGTCAGGGGAAGTGGTTGACAGATTTCCATCTAGAGGAGGAGGACCTTTGTTCACGTCTTCCTCGGGCCCTCGGACAGGCCCTCATCTTTCTCCCCAGCAACAAGCTTCACGGGGAGCTGATTCCCTCAATCCTCCGGATCCGTCTAGCCAGAGTCAGGCTCACCTTAGAGAATCGGTACTGCCTGAGAGTCGGAACCCGATGTTCGTTAGGTTTGCGGAGGAGGAGGACCAGTTTCCGGCCAACTCGACATGGTCAACCCGGTTTGCCACAAGAAACCAGTCATCACAACTGGATGACTTGACTGATGATTATTCCTCAACACTGGCCGATAAATTTCATAATCTTCGATTGCAGCCCCCCTCCCCAAAGCGGCAACAACGTACGGCAACGTGCCAAGGAGCAGTGGAGTCAAGTAGATCGCTGGGGAGTACGGTTCAATGGAAGGACTAGTGTCAACGATTTCCTTGAGCGGATAGAGGAGCTTCGGTTGTCCGGCGGGGTTTCAAAAGATCGACTCCTCTGGTCCGCTCCGGAGTTGTTAACACACGAGGCCCTCCTTTGGTACCGCATTGGACGGTTTAATTCCTGGGATGAACTGGCCGATCGATTTAGGGAGGCATTTCAACCGTTTGACTATGAATATGGGTTGTGGGATGAACTGAGAAGAAGAACTCAGGGTGCTCAGGAGAAGATTATGAACTATGTGTCCATTATGGAAAACATGTTCAGGAAAATGCCCAGGTTGCCCTCAGAACCTACCCGAGTTAACCTAATAAGGAGGAATCTGTTGCCCCATAATCAGAAACAGCTTTCTTTGTGTGGAATTACCACAATTGCGGAACTGGTTCGACTCAGTCGAGCAATTGAAGAGACGGAGTGGAAAGTGGACAAATTCACTCCACCCCCTACGAATGTGCGTAACCTTCTCGAACCTGAGTTGGCTTACCGGCGTACAACCATAAACCAACTTTCTTCGGTGCGAAGTGAGTGTGCGGCTACGGCCTCAGCAACTACCTCCCGCCACCCGATGCCTAGTTCGAACCCCTCAAGTGATCTGAACGTCGACGCAATGACGAATCAGCCTGCGAAGTGTTGGAACTGCCAGAGTTCTGAACATAAATTTCGTCAATGCTCTCAGCCCCGTCAGAAATTTTGCTTCAAGTGCGGACGGTTGGACACAGTCTCATACTCATGTCCCAACTGCGCAAAAAACTCGAGAAGAGGTCCCCAGTAGGCCGGTGGGTAGACCTCTCCACTACTATCCCCCCGGTCGATCAAAGAACTTCCGTAATCATCGATTACGTGCCCGCTCACGCAAAGGGTGACACGAGGCCATATCTGACGGTGGATATTTTGGGCCAAAAGTTCCTATCCCCATTGGACTCGGGCTGTACTCGCACTGTTTTGGGAGAGAGAGGTTGTAAAATTCTTGAACCGTTCTGTCGACTGTACCGAAGTTACTTTTAATTTTTAGTTTTATATGAGACATACGGTATAATGGTTACGAACTTTTGTATATAGTCAGCTAGAAACACCATTCTTCTTCGTGAATACTATTAATAATACACCGGAAGTATTATTCATAGATATCAACAGCCGTTATTTAGTTTTGATTGATTATAATAATTTTGGGTGGATAATTAATAAAGCGCCGAATGGAGTTGAGACCGATATCCGCCTAGGTATACGTATAGCGTGCGCGCCCCACTATTCAAGTAGAGTGGTGGAACCTCGTCTCGCGTGCCGCCGTAGCTCAGATAGCGATACGGAAAATCAGTATAGCTTGTGCGCTCAGCCGGCTATACACGCGAAGGCAGCAGACCAGCGAGACCAAGGACGAGCCGACACCGAAGCCAGCCGAGAGCTACCAACGGAGAGGGGAGAGCCGCCTAGAAGCCTGAGGACTGCAGACCAGGAGAGCAGTTCCTCAAGAGCGACAGACCAGACAGCCACGACAGCAGACGAGACCAGACCGACCGACCGACCAGAGAGTAAAGGAGAAGAAGAGCATTAGGTGAGGCGAGAAGAGAGACATACTAAGTGGGAATCCCTGGTATGCAGGATATCGTTGTGTATTTAATATATTGTTCTCTTTCAGCCGTCATGATCTAAGTGTGTATCACCTGATCATTAGAGGTGCACGATAGATAGCTTGCGTGCACGCATACTCAGTGGGTATCCCCTGTATGCAGGATATTGTTGTGTATTCAATATATTGTTCTCTTTCAGCCGTCATGATCTAAGTGTGTATCACCTGATCATTTGGGGTGCACGATAGATAGCCTGCGTGCATGCATACTCAGTGGGTATCCCCGGTATGCTAGATATTGCATGTAATAGAATTGAGGCGTGCTGCTTGTTTTGCTCTTAACATTTTAGACTGGAATGATATAGCTTAGTTGCTTTGAATAACCGCGAGCTTGCAATCTGAATCTGCCTAAATACCGTATGTCTCGAGAGAAGTATTGATCATAGCATCCGAGTTTCGTATATATTGTAAATAAGTTTCATAGATAAGTAATATAAGTAATTTGTAAAGATTAATTTAGAATACATAGTTGGAAAATATTATTGAGTTTTATTTCAATCATTATTGGTGCAACTTATAATCCGGGAGATAAGCTTTACAAAAGTTATGTCACTTTGACAGTTGAAATCTCAGACCACTGGATTATACTTTCTCCACTGGAAGTTGCCCGGTGCGAGTGGACCTACCACTATGAAAAAGGTGGCGCCCGAGTTGTAAATAATTGCTAATAGTTAAACCCGCTTTATTGCACCAAGAAGATATCTCAGAGTAGATACCCTTACACGACTACAAGAGGTTTCCGAGCAGCAATGCACGGTTGATAATGGACACAGCTGTCCCGTAGTGAGGATGATTGCTGTTCCAGTGAACTTATGTGGTCAGGTGAAGATTTTCCAGATATTGGTAGTTCCCTCTCTTCCACATACTCTTATACTTGGTATGGACTTCTGGTCAAGGATGCGAATCATTCCGGACATGTTCTCGGGGGAATGGAGTTTCCGGAACTCGGAGGAGGAGGAGTCGGCCCCACAGTATCTGAATTCTATCAGTACCCTATCGGACGTTCAACGCCGACAGCTAGATGCCTTGATTGAGGCAACTTTTCATTCTATGGGGACTAAACTAGGATGTACCAACTTAGTTTCTCGTGTCATCCAGACTACATCTCTCCCTCTTCGTCAGCGATATAACCCGGTATCTCCAGCACTATTGAAGCAGGTGCATCTTGAGTTGGATCAAATGCTCTCTGACGGAGTAGTAGAGCCCTCGTCCTACCCTTGGGCCTCGCCTATTCTGTTGCTGCGAGAAGATGACGGTCGTTACAGATTTGTGGTAGATTTCCGGCAGCTCAACAAGGTCACGGAACGGGACGCCCACCCTCTGCCTTTAGTAAGTGCTACCCTGGATAAGCTACGGGATGCGCACTATTTGACCACTTTGGACATCAAATCTGCTTACTGGCAGATTACCTTATCGGCCGAGTCAAAACCACTGACCGCATTCATTGTACCCAATCGGGGGCTCTTCCAGTTTAATCGGATGCCTATGGGCCTTCACAATGCTCCTGCAACATGGCAAAGGTTCATCGATCGGGTTATCGGGGTAGATTTAGAACAATACGTCTTCGTCTACCTCGATGACGTCATCATATGCACAGACACCTTCGATAAACATCTTCATATTCTGACAGAGGTTTTGGCGCGACTTGCGGGCGCGGGCCTGACGCTGAATAAGAATAAATGTCACTTTTGCAAGGCGGAACTCAAATACCTGGGCTATGTCGTAGGCTCATCAGAGTTGATGGTGGATCCAGAGAAGGTAGAGGCAATTGATGAGATGCCTCCACGACGTACTGTTACCGAGGTGAGGAGACTTATCGGGCTGGCCTCCTGGTACAGGCGCTTTGTGCCAAATTTTTCCTCCCTTACTTCACCCCTCTGTGCGCTGCTGAAAAAGAATTCGAAGTTCGTCTTGTGAGTCTTGTGATCAGGCCTTCCGCACTCTCAAGGACCATTTGATCACCGCGCCCGTCCTTTCATGTCCGAACTTCGAGCTGCCCTTCGTGATACAAACCGACGCATCGGACTACGGTATTGGGGCTGTGCTCTCGCAGGCTTCCGAGGAAGGGGAGAAGGTGATCTGTTACTTGAGTAGATCGTTAACGGCCACGGAAAGAAAGTTAAGCACCACCGAGAAGGAATGCCTGGCGGTGCTGTTCGCTATTGAGAAGCTAAGACCTTATGTAGAAGGAACGAGGTTCAGCGTAATCACCGACCACTACAGTCTCGAGTGGCTTAATAACATCAAGGACCCGGTTGGCAGGATCGCCAGATGGGCGGTGCGGCTTCAACGATATGATTTCGATATAGTCCATAGGCCCGGTCGCGAACATTGCGTTCCAGATGCCCTATCGCGAGCCGTTCTGGTTGTGGACTCAGTCGATGGTCCAGCTGATGAAGCCCCACCAACCACGAAGGACCCATGGTATCGGCGTATGATCGCCCTAGTGAAGGCCCGACCTGATCGCTATCCCCTTTGGCGGATAGAGGGGGAGCGTATTTTCAAAAAGACCAAGGTCCCTTATCCAGGTCTCTCGGAAGAATCCGATGGATGGCTGTTGGTGGTCCCGAAAGAAAATCGCTTGGAGATCATCCAGAGAAAGCATGACCCTCCCACGTCAGGACACTTGGGAATCTTCAAAACATGTTCCCGGATAGCCACAAAGTTCTACTGGCCCAAACTTCGTCAGGATGTCGCGCGGTACATGAATAGATGCCAGACGTGTCTGAAGACCAAACCTGAGCAGAAGGCACCGGTGGGACTGATGCTAAATGCTGACCCTACGGTATCACGACCATGGGAGATTTTAAGCGTCGACCTAGTCGGTCCGTTACCTTGATCTAGTTGCACTGTAACTCTCCAGTCTAGCATATGACATGCATACAATCGAAGCAGATACGATGGCGGTTTCCGTATGAGTCGACTTTGAAGGAAATATAACGAGTACAACAGGCGAATGGGGATATATCTACTTCATCGTCGTATTCACTATATCTCTCTATTCTATCATCCCACATGGACACTATTGAAGCGAACGAGTTCGCAATGACCATATATAAGACGACTTCCAAAAAGGTATAGCGCACACAGCTTGCAGAAACAAGAAACTCCGACTTCGACTATTTTTCCACTGCAACTCTGCAGTCTAGCATCTGACATGCATACAGGAACGATTGCAGTGACGGTATAAAGAGACTTTGGAGAAATTATAACGGGTACAATGGGCGAATGACTATACATCGACTCCATCGTTGTGCACACTATATCTCTCTTTCCCATCATCTCACATGTACACTATTGAAGCAGACAAGTTCGCAATGATGTTACGATCCGAAAGTACTTGCTCTGATCTGAATGGGAAATCTACTAATTAATGCATTTGTATGAGAGAATGGTGCCAGATTCAGATATATCATACAAAGCCCTACGCTCATTTGCATCTTTATTTCAAGTATCATATTATAACAACAGATATAGATGGTAACCCTGCGGTATCTAACAGCTCTGGGATTAGTGCTCTTCTCGTTGCAGCAGGATAGTAACCCCTAAAATCATTCAATGTATTAGGATAATGAGATTACCAGGAGCTTTGTACTTACCCGCTTGTCCCCTACTCCTGGCTTTTGGCCTGTTCCATCCAGGGTAGCCAGTTTCCATCAGCCAATGGTAACCCTGCACCTCAAGAGGTTCATTCCTGAAAATCAGAAATAATTATGAATAACATCCATCAGATTATTTCGTTTTGGGTTGGTTAGGATAGGTTATGAGTATGGATTTACCTCTTGCCAGTGCAGAACATCTTCTGTGACTGAACCACAGCCAGTTCTTCTTTCATTATATTCTGCTCACTGGTTCTGCTCCCTCCTTCTTATTTTGTTCTCAGTATGGAGACACAACCATCATCAAGACATTGTCAACAAGAGAACCAGGTTGACAAGCAGTTGTGAGAGAGAGAGGTTAGGATTGGGAGGATTTTGCCTCCAAAAATTGTAGGTGTCACCTGGATTCCTTTTTTTTTTGGCTTTAACCTCCAGTATAGCATGTGTGCTTGGGAAATTGCAGAATTTGCAGATTTGAAAGCCAAAAAGGTAAACTTGGAAAATATTAGAAGAATTAATCATTAAGTTGATTATTTCACAACACAGTGTGGATTTATAATATTTTCCTCCTGACTCACCAGTTTCTTGTCGAAACCTTCAGATAGGCCACATTTCATCCAAGGTAAGCCTCCCAGGAATCCTCCCTTTTGTCAGTCCGGTTACCAACATAATCAATGATTTTAGGCCTTATTATTGACCCTTCAGTACCTGTGAAGCTGCTTTGAAAAGACCTGGAGCCTACCCTAAAACCATCCCTGGTTTTGGTGGCCTATCCCCCAAACCCCTACCAATATAAATTGTCCCTATATGTAGAAATCTACAAGGTATAAGCTAACCAATCCTAGCTGCAACGGGGTTGGAGTGACATTGGCATATCATCCCTGGATGCTTGATCACAAGTAAGATCTTTCTTATTTATCAGCTTTGGCTGCCTTACCTGGTGAAGGTTGCAGACTGGCTTATTGGCCTGTGTAACACTGCATTCTTGCTTTGCATGCATGACTCTTGTGCTCACTCAGTATTAAGGATATATTGTGCTCAATTAGTATTAAGTCTATCTTGTGCTCACTTAGGATTAAGTATCTCTTGTGCTCACTCAGGAATAAGTACATCTTGTGCTCATATAGAATTAAGTATAGATGGTGCTCACTCCAAATTAAGCAAAGGTATTTATAAGTGTGAAACAAAAACAGCTTTGACTTTTTATCCATGTTCATATCAATGTAGGAGAATAAAAGTGAATCCTGTATATATCTGTAGGGCGGTCATTGGATTCATTGATGCTCAGCTATAGGCCTGATTACTGAGTGTTGGAGAATCAGCACAGGAGTTATGTCATGAAATTCATATAGAGTGCCATCATTATCTTGGATCCTTGAGCTGGATTATTAATTGAATAGGACCATAAGAATAGTTCATCCAAATCATTTGTCTCACGTAATTATTATTTTGTTCTTGCATGTTTATCAAGTTTAATTATTGTTGTTTACAAGAATATGGTTACCTTTGCGATTTGACATATGAATTGATGCGTGAACGTGACAGTCAGTTGAAGTTGAAGGATCGCAATTGTCATTTGTCAGCGTGTGTACGAGCAGTGTTGCCGGATGACCACTCGTGGTTCTGTCACAGATTAACAGACCTTTTTATTCTGTGGTTCCGTGCTAGATCCTTAGATCATTAATAAATCAAACTAAATAAACGTCACTTGAGAGTTGCCATTCACGAAATTTAGTGTTCAACTTACTTTACCCACCCCTCTCCCTGAGCTGTATTCGAAATAACTATTTTCCAATCGAGGAAAATACGGAAACTCAACAAAAGGGATTCCCCGAGCAAGAATCCATCTTTTTGTTGCCTCTCGAGTACCGAGGTGTAACAAAATTGGCGCCCAACGTGTTCGGATCTGTTTATACAGGGTGATCAGTAAGCAACTCTCAACTGAGGTTTATCTTAGCCATTATCTTTTTATTTTTGTCTCTCGTTCCGGTTAGTAATTTGGATTTTCTTGAGCTTGAGCGAACAGGTATGGTATGATTTCGCCGATGGTTTTGCCACGATTCCAGAGTTGTTGGTGCAGATGAGCATTGCGTGCTTTAGATTCATAATTTTAGAGCATTGAGGTCATACCTACACAAGGTGTTGTGGTCAATAGGTGACAGAGGTATTCGAGGTCTGGTATACGAGGGGTATATAGGAGATCGCAATATCCGGTTTTTGGAAAAAGTATATAGATATACAGGGTGTACATAAATTGTAACTCTTCTTTTCTCAGATATTAAGGGTATAATTTTTCGTATGTTCTTTTTGCTTTTTCGAGGTTTGGTAAGAATTTATACAGGGTTTATATACAAATAATTACAGTTTTTTTTCTCACCTATCTTTCAGGAAGTTTGGAGATTTCGGATAGTTTCCTTTTCTTCGCGAAAGTATAGTTGACGGGAGACGGGGTTACTTTGAGGTGGTGTTGGGTTGTTCTTAGTGGGGGTTGGGTTCACTTCGTGGAATTAATTCTCGAGCAACTATTTTTATCTACGAATTGCGTAGAATTCCTAATTGGGACTACTTGAATTTACGAAAAAAAAAAAAATTTCAATCATGGAAGTTAATCGTCTTTTGGGGGATGAACTGACATACGAACTCCAAATACGAGGATTGCCGATAGGAAACAATGTGGCTGAAAAGAGAACAGCGTTGAGAGAGGTATTCAGACTGGAACGTCAAAATACTACTCATGCTCCAGTGGCGATTAGGTTAGACCCAGATAATGAGATCTCGATAACTGAACGGAAGATATTGGAACTCCAACAGGCCATTAGGGGTTTTGATCACTCAAACCGAGATAACGAATTTGCGCGCATTTATTCGCGGTTGCTACATGTCTCCCTCCGTCTCCAACGGTTAAGGGGAGGCAACGGTGATCAAGAGGGTTATAGGATCGAGCTCATCCAGAGATGTTCACAGATGATAGGAGACCTGAACTTAGCTTTTGAGGGGTTATCAGTTAGCCAACGAACGGACGGGAGAGTTAGCTCGAATGGTCAGGGATCGCGGTCTATACTGGACGAGGATAACCGAGTGGAGCACACGGTCTCCCCTCTCGAGCCTTCCATTTCGTACGATCTCATTGATCTGACAGATGGAGGAGGTGGCATCAAGTCAGGGGATGTGGTTGACAGATTTCCATCCAGAGGAGGAGGACCTTTGTTCACGTCTTCCTCAGGCCCTCGGACAGGCCCTTATCCTTCTCCCCAGCAACAAGCTTCACGGGGAGCTGATTCCCTCAATCCTCCGGATCCGTCTAGCCAGAGTCAGGCTCACCTTAGAGAATCGGTACTGCCTGAGAGTCGGAACCCGATGTTCGTTAGGTTTGCGGAGGAGGAGGACCAGTTTCTGGCCAACTCGACATGGTCAACCCGGTTCGCCACAAGAAACCAGTCATCACAACTGGATGACTTGACTGATGATTATTCCCCAACACTGGCCGATAAATTTTATAATCTTCGATTGCAGCCCCCCCAAAGCGGCAACAACGTACGGCAACGTGCCAAGGAGCAGTGGAGTCAGGTAGATCGCTGGGAAGTACAGTTCAATGGAAGGACTAGTGTCAACGATTTCCTTGAGCGGATAGAGGAGCTTCGGTTGTCCGGCGGGGTTTCAAAAGATCGACTTTTCCGGTCCGCTCCGGAGTTGTTAACACACGAGGCCCTCCTTTGGTACCGCACTGGACGGTTTAGTTCCTGAGATGAACTGGCCGATCGATTTAGGGAGGCATTTCAACCGTTTGACTATGAATATGGGTTGTGGGATGAACTGAGAAGAAGAACTCAGGGTGCTCAGGAGAAGATTATGAACTATGTGTCCATTATGGAAAACATGTTCAGGAAAATGCCCAGGTTGCCCTCAGAACCTACCCGAGTTAACCTAATAAGGAGGAATCTGTTGCCCCATATTCAGGAACAGCTTTCTTTGTGTGGAATTACCACAATTGCGGAACTGGTTCGACTCAGTCGAGCAATTGAAGAGACGGAGTGGAGAGTGGACAAATTCACTCCACCCCCTACGAATGTGCGTAACCTTCTCGAACCTGAGTTGGCTTACCTGCGTACAACCCCAAACCAACTTTCTTCGGTGCGAAGTGAGGGTGCGGCTACGGCCTCAGCAACTACCTCCCGCCACCCGATGCCTGGTTCGAACCCCTCAAGTGATCTGAACGTCGACGCGATGACGAATCAGCCTGCGAAGTGTTGGAACTGCCAGAGTTCTGAACATAAATTTCGTCAATGCTCTCAGCCCCGTCGGAAATTTTGCTTCAAGTGCGGACGGTTGGACACAGTCTCATACTCATGTCCCAACTGCGCAAAAAACTCGAGAAGAGGTCCCCAGTAGGCCGGTGAGTAGACCTCTCCACTACGATCCTCCCGGTCGATCAAAGAACTTCCGTAATCATCGATTACGTGCTCGCTCACGCAAAGGGTGACACGAGGCCATATCTGACGGTGGATATTTTGGGCCAAAAGTTCCTATCCCTATTGGACTCGGGCTGTACTCGCACTGTTTTGGGAGAGAGAGGTTGGAAAATTCTTTAACCGTTCTGTCGACTACAAGAGGTTTCCGAGCAGCAACGCACGGTTGCTAATGGACACAGCTGTCCCGTAGTGAGGATGATTGCTGTTCCAGTGAACTTATGTGGTGAGGTGGAAATTTTCGAGATATTGGTAGTTCCCTCTCTTCCACATACTCTTATACTTGGTATGGACTTCTGGTCAAGGATGCGAATCATTCCGGACATGTTCTCGGGGGAATGGAGTTTCCGGAACTCGGAGGAGGAGGAGTCGGCCCCACAGTATCTGAATTCTATCAGTACCCTATCGGACGTTCAACGCCGACAGCTAGATGCCTTGATTGAGGCAACTTTTCATTCTATGGGGACTAAACTAAGATGTACCAACTTAGTTTCTCATGTCATCCAGACTACCTCTTCCCCTCTTCGTCAGCGATATAACCCGGTATCTCCAGCACTACTGAAGCAGGTGCATCTTGAGTTGGATCAAATGCTCTCTGAGTAGTAGAGCCCTCGTCCTCCCCTTGGGCCTCGCCTATTCTGTTGCTGCGAGAAGATGACGGTCGTTACAGATTTGTGGTAGATTTCCGGCAGCTCAACAAGGTCACGGAACAAGACGCCTACCCTCTGCCTTTAGTAAGTGCTACCCTGGATAAGCTACGGGATGCGCACTATTTGACCACTTTGGACATCAAATCTGCTTACTGGCAGATTCTCTTATCGGCCGAGTCAAAACCACTGACCGCATTCATTGTACCCAATCGGGGGCTCTTCCAGTTTACCCAGATGCCTATGGGCCTTCACAATGCTCCTGCAACATGGCAAAGGTTCATCGATCGGGTTATCGGGGTAGATTTAGAACAATACGTCTTCGTCTACCTCGATGACGTCATCATATGCACAGACACCTTCGATAAACATCTTCATATTCTGACAGAGGTTTTGGCGCGACTTGCGGGCGCAAGCCTGACGCTGAATAAGAATAAATGTCACTTTTGCAAGGCGGAACTCAAATACCTGGGCTATGTCGTAGGCTCATCAGAGTTGATGGTGGATCCAGAGAAGGAAGAGGCAATCGTTAAGATTCCTCCACCACGTACTGTTACCGAGGTGAGGAGACTTATCGGGCTGGCCTCCTGGTACAGGCGCTTTGTGCCAAATTTTTCCTCCCTTACTTCACCCCTCTGTGCGCTGCTGAAAAATAATTCGAAGTTCGTCTTGTGAGTCTTGTGATCAGGCCTTCCGCACTCTCAAGGACCATTTGATCACCGCGCCCGTCCTTTCATGTCCGAACTTCGAGCTGCCCTTCGTGATACAAACCGACGCATCGGACTACGGTATTGGGACTGTGCTCTCGCAGGCTTCCGAGGAAGGGGAGAAGGTGATCTGTTACTTGAGTAGATCGTTAACGGCCACGGAAAGAAAGTTCAGCACCACCAAGAAGGAATGCCTGGCGGTGCTGTTCGCTATTGAGAAGCTAAGACCTTATGTAGAAGGAACGAGGTTCAGCGTAATCACCGACCACCACAGTCTCAAGTGGCTTAATAACATCAAGGACCCGGTTGGCAGGATCGCCAGATGGGCGGTGCGGCTCCAACAATATGATTTCGATATAGTCCATAGGCCCGGTCGCGAACATTGCGTTCCAGATGCCCTATCGCGAGCCGTTCCGGTTGTGGACTCAGTCGATGGTCCAGCTGATGAAGCCCCACCAACCACGAAGGACTTATGGTATCGGCGTATGATCGCCCTAGTGAAGGCCCGACCTGATCGCTATCCCCTTTGGCGGATAGAGAGGGAGCGTATTTTCAAAAAGACCAAGGTCCCTTATCCAGGTCTCTCGAAAGAATCTGATGGATGGCTGTTGGTGGTCCCGAAAGAAAATCGCTTGGAGATCATCTAGAGAAAGCATGACCCTCCCACGTCAGGACACTTGGGAATCTTCAAAACATGTTCCCGGATAGCCACAAAGTTCTACTGGCCCAAACTTCGTCAGGATGTCGCGCGGTACATAAATAGATGCCAGACGTGTCTGAAGACCAAACCTGAGCAGAAGGCACCGGCGGGACTGATGCTAAGTGCTGGCCCTACGGTATCACGACCATGAGAGATTTTAGGCGTCGACCTAGTCGGTCCGTTACCTCGATATAGTTGCACTGTTACTCTTCAGTCTAGCATATGACATGCATACAATCGAAGCAGATACGATGGCAGTTTCCGTATTAGTCGACTTTGAAGGAAATATAACGAGTACAACAGGCGAATGGGGATATATCTACTTCATTGTCGTATTCACTATATCTCTCTATTCTATCATCCCACATGGACACTATCGAAGCGAACGAGTTCGCAATGACCATATATAAGACCACTCTCAAAGAGGTATAGCGCACACAGCTTGCAGAAACAAGAAACTTCGACTTCGACTTTTTTTTCACTGTAACTCTGCAGTCTAGCATCTGACATGCATACAGTTGAAGCAGATATGATCGTATTAACAAAAAACGACTTTAGAGGGTTTATAGCAAGTACAATAGGCAAATGAAGATACATCAATTTCATCGGTGTGCACACTCTATCTCTCTATCCTATCATCTCACATGGATACTATTGTAGCAGACAAGTTCGCGATGCCCATATGAGACGACTTCCAAGAGGGTATAACGCACACAACTTGCACAACAAGAAACTTCGACTACGACTATATTTTCGAAGAAACTCTGCAGTCTAGCATCTGACATGCATACAGTCAAGCACATATAATCGCAGTGACCATATAAGACGACTTTGGAGGGTATATAAAGAGTACAATAGGCAGATGAAGATACATCGACTTCATCGAAGTGCACACTCTATCTCTCTATCCCATCATCTCACATGAATACTATAGAAGCAGACGAGTCCGCAATGCCCATATGAGACGACATCTAAGCGGGTATAACGCACACGACTTGGAGAACGAGGAACTTCGTTCATGTTCACACTGTAACTCTGCAGTCTAGCAACTGACATGCATACATTCGATGCAGGAACTATTGCAGTGACCGTTTAAGACGACTCTGAAGGGATTTCAACGGGTACAATAGGCAAATGAAGATACATCGACTTCATCGTTGTGCACACTATAACTCGCTATCCTCTCATCTTACATGGTCACTATTGAAGCAGACAAGTTCACAATGACCATATTAGATGACTTTCAAGAACGTATAACGCACACAACTTGCAGAACAAGAAACTTCGACTACGATTATGTTTACACAAAAACTCTGCAGTCTAGCATCTGACATGCATACAGTTGAAGCAGATACGATGGCAGTGACCGTATAAGACGACTCTGAAGGGTATATAACGAGTTCAATAGGCTAATGAAGTTACATCGACTTCATTGGTGTGCACACTCTATCTCTCTATCCTATCATCTCACATGGATACTATCGAAGCAAACGAGTTCGCAATGCACATATAAGACGACTTCTGAGCAATTATAAGGCACACAATTCGCAGAACTGGAAACTTCGACTACGACTCCGTTTACACTGTAACTCTGCCGTCAAGCATCTGACATGCATACAGTTGAAGCAGATACGATGGCAGTGACCGTATAAGAAGACGAGTTCAATAGGCAAATGAAGATACATCGACTCCATCGGAGTGCACACACTATCTCTCTATCCTATCATCTCACATGGATACTATTGAAGCAGACGAGTTCCCAATGCCCATTTGAGACGACTCCTAAGCGGGTATAAGGAACACAACTTGGAGA